AAACCTCTATACATACCCTTTGTCCCCTAGTTCTTTCCTCTATTTCCCTTTACTTTCCTCTTGTCCCACTATCATGGTCAGCCTTCATTTGGGTTTCAGTGATTTCTCTCGGTTACAATGCCCTTGCTGAACCCCTACCAGGCCTCTTGCACCCTCCTTGCCACTGTTTTTGGATCACTTGTTGCTCCCCTGTCCCTGGGTTGGTCAGCACCACCTCCTTACCCCCACTCTCCCCCTCTCCTGTGTCCCCTCCCCCCAACCGTTGGTCCTGTTGTTTTCTTCTCCAGACTATTCGTCCAGTCTACCTTATCAAGATAGATCTGTAGAGATACTAATATGCATAAAAAACCAAGCCATAGCAAGATAGGCAATCAGTGACAGCACAGCGATGGCAACAAAAAAGGAAACCTATTACCCATAGAAGAAGAAGTTAATTAAACAAACAAAACAAAAACTTAAGCAGAAAGAAAAACCTGTAAATAGGTCAAGGTCTGATTTTTTATCTCTAGGCGTGCCCTTCAGTCAAGACCGATGGGGTACCATGCTCTGGCCCCCAAATCTGTCCTTTGTACTCCCTTGGGGGCTCTCTGCTCTGCTCCCACGGTTGCTTTTTGTGGTTTGCCTCGGTGTCTCAGGGTCAGTCTGGGCCAGTCCCAACACTGAGTCTCCAGCGTTGTCCCCCTTAGAGCCTGCTGCCATCAAGGGATGGCGTGTCTCGTGATGGGATCAGCTATATTGTCCACTCTGTCCACAGGCTGTTCAGAGCGGGGATGTCGTCCTCCAGGGCTGGTGGGTCAGGATGTGCTCCACTCTCTCTTCCTCCCCAAATGCTCCCATTTGCTCTGATCAGACATGCCCCTTTCCCCTAACTGCAGCTTCATTGCCGTCCTCTCAAGTAGCTTCTTCTGCGGGGAGGGCTGTTGTCCACATAGCTGACATGGGGCCGAACCCTCAGACCCCTCCACTGGCTCCCCACTCCTTGCCAACAAGCTGCATTCGTCTGGCACTGGCTTTAAATCTGGTCCTTTCCCCGGTGGTCGGCCACTAATTCAGGTGCAGAGCTGTACGTCACCACTAGATGGCGCTCGCCCAAGTCTCAGCCCTGCGTCCTCTGAGGCGCTGGGTGATTGTCTTGCACAGTCCATCTCTATGGTTTCTGTTGTGGCTCTATCCGGAATAGGCGGTGCTTCCGCTTCCGGTGGGGCCGGCCGTAGCGGCGGAGATGGCGGCGGCTCAGGCGGGGGCTCTCTCCTCGGGCTCTGTAGGGCCCCGGGAAGAGGCTGAAGCCCCCAACTCCGCCTGGGATGAGTCACAACTGCGCAGTTACAGCTTTCCTACCCGGCCCATCCCGCGGCTGAGTCAGAGCGACCCTCGGGCCGAGGAGCTGATTGAGAATGAGGTGGGGGCGGGGCCGCGTCCAGAGGACAAGGGGGTCCCGGGTGGGAGGAGAGGTGGGAGGCGAAAGCTGAAAGAGGCGGTCAAGGACAGTGAGGTTCTGCTTTAAGGGCAGAGGGAGGAGGAAGCGAAGTAAGTTTGAGGGGTGAGGGGTTCGTGCTCATCAGCGGAAAGAACCCTGTGGTTGGGAAGTAGTTGGGTTCTGGGATAAGGACTGGCCCGCTCCTTGGGGGTGACTTCATTTGTTTCGTGTCGCTCTTCTGTTTTGTTTTCACTTGATGGTCGCCTCACTTAGGAGCCCGTGGTACTGACCGACACTAATCTTGTGCATCCGGCCCTGAAATGGGACCTCGAATACCTGCAAGAGAATATTGGCAATGGGGACTTCTCTGTGTACAGTGCCAGTACCCACAAATTCTTGTACTATGATGAGAAGAAAATGACCAATTTCCAGAACTTTAAGCCGAGGTCTAACAGGGAGGAAATGAAGTTTCATGAGTTTATTGACAAGCTGCAGGATGTACAGCAACGAGGAGGAGAAGAGCGGTGAGTTCGCAGATCTTCGTTTTTCCTTGCCCGGACTTAGTGGAGGGCCCCCGGTGCCCTAGCGGTACCGCCCGTAGGTTGCTGCCACCAGGTCCGCTGTTAGAAACCGCCAGCCCTTCTGTTGGAGAAAGACCAGGCTTTCCACTTTTGAAAAGTTACTCGTCTCCAAACGCCCCCGGGGCAAGTTCCCTGTGAGTCAGAATGGGCTGAATGGCTATGAATTGGGTTTTTGGTACTTGTCTGAAGGTCTGGTGGAGTTGGGTAAGTAGAGATTGGCATCGGCATTTCAGGATTCCTTCCTTCTGAGTGAGTAGTTTGCTCATTCAACCCATGAGGGGTTTGGGTTGTGAAGGGATGCTTGGGCTTACAGCCCAGACTTTAGCCATAGTGAGGATTACACTTGAACTTTGTTTCTGTAGTTCTTTGTCTCCCCCCCCCCCCCAACTCACAGTGACTGAGATTTAGAGTCAGGTAATGACTGAACCAAATGAATGAAGATGGCCAGGTGAGAATGAAGCTGGCGCTGAAGGCTTATGCCATGCCCCAAGCCATTACTTGACTTAGCATTGAAGGGAAGCCAGAAACCAAGATTTTTATTGAGAACCTGATTTTTAAGTTTGGGTAACTAATAAAATATTTTGAAAATGCTGCCTGGAGGCCAAAGAAAAACCTGGATTAGATTTATCCCTGAGATTGCCTGTTTACAACCTTTGCTCTAAAATGGTAGGCTGGCTGCAGACAAGGGGAAAGTAAATGTGTAGATTGTTGTGATTCTGGGGGGAAGGCCCTCAGCTTCCCTCTAGGGGAGATCAGATTAGCTTGGGAGTGGTGGCGCATTATCAGCATTCCAGATTGTGCCAGTGGTAGTACACACACTTCTGCAAGAGTGATTCTCTCTCTGGCGCTTATCCTGACTTGTGCACAAGGCCTCTCTTGTAGGCACCGGACAGCATCCCTTCCTCAGGAGAACTGCCATCCCTGAGTAGCTTTACAAATGAGTGAGAACTGCCATCCCTGAGTAGCTTTACAAATAAGTGAGTGGCCACACATTTGGTGCCTCACCCAAGGCTTCTTCCTCATCTCCTGCCTCAAGAAGGAGTTCAACTTGCCTCTCTACCAGCAATGTGTGGCTAGTTGAATGGATCTGAAATAACTTTTTCTTCTTTAAAAGGGACTTTGACCGAAAGAATTTCCAGGGTCCTAAAAATTGGTTAGTTTAGTCATCTCATTGCACTAATTGCCTCAAACTTAACAGCACACACACAGAGCGAGAGCATGTTGACAGAGAACTTGCTATAAATGATGCTGATAGAGTAGGTGATCCCACTGGATCAGCATGTGCCCTGGAATGAGTGGAGTGCGAAATAAGACGCATGAATCTTCTGGTTCTTTGGCCATTTTTAAGTGTCTTGTCCCCATCAGTGTTACTTGCTCTTGGGTGGGCTCTGACTCGTGGCAGTCTTCTAATGCACCTTACACACTGAGGAGCTAGGCAGTGTGACCCCTCTGAGCCTTTTGGAAGGACCTTCTCAGAGCAGAGTCACTATCTTTTGTATTCTTCAAGCTTGTCATTTTGTTAATATCTCTTGTTTGGCCAACTGGGTCTGGGTTCCAGGTCCCCGAAGTAACCTCGGACCTTTCTCAGGCAGGTTAGGGACCCTGGGCTTGTGGAAAGCCCGATGAGGTATTTTCTGGCTTACTTCAGCTTAGAGGGCTCTGCGGATTGGTGGCTCGTTGGAGGTTGGCCCAAAAAGATGGAGGCAGGGGGAAGACATTGGGAAGTTTGCAAGAGTTAAAGACAGCAGAGGCAAATACTGACTGCTACAGACACAGTTTAAGAAAATAAAAAAGATTGGTGGCTGAAAGATAGTGTAGGCTCAGTGGCTTAAATCAACAAGCTTTGTTTCTCCCTCCTGTGGCATGTTCATCACAGAGCTCCTGGGGGCTCATCATTTTCACTCCAAGATTGCCCCAGCCAACACCTGTCTGGAACTTGGCTGTGGTGGTAGTGTCTCCTGGTACATAAAAGTTAGAATTGGGGAATAGCACCAGTCACTTCTGTGGCTCATGCAGTGGCCGGAGAAGATTAAAAGAGCAAGCCTGACTTCAGGGGGTTGCAGAAAATGATTCTCGCCCTGGGAGGGACCTTGTTTTGGGGAGTGGCCATTCAGTCTCCCAGTGGCCATCAAGGATGAACAGGAGCTGGTCATCTGGTCTGGAGAGGCACGAGGACAAGATCAATTTGTCATCATAAGATCTGCAGCTAGGCTTCCAGGAGTCTAGAAATTTGTAAGAAAAGTTGTATGTGTATGTATTTTGGGGGGAAGCTGGCTGAGGAGTCTTAAAGGATTTAGGGTATGACCTAGACAAGACTAAGAATCACTGTTTTAAAGTACAAACACTCTCTGATGTGTCGGTACTCCTGGAGGTCACTCTCTCCAGGCTCTGTCCAGGCGGCATAGGAGAGCACAGGGCTCTGCCCCGTGATGTGCAATCCTTTTCCACAACGTTGGCGATCAAGCCGGGCCTTGAGCCTCTGCCAGCATAGTCCTGCAGTTTCTCAGGACAGTGACTGAGGAGACACACCACGCAGGAAACAGCTCTCTGATACTCCCCACCTGAGTCTAGGTTCTGTTTGATGAGTTAGATTTGTTTTCCACTTGTAGGTTTTTTGCAGGAAAATAATAAAGTGAGAAAGGTTGATGTTGAAAGAAAGATGGGAGTTATTCTCTGAGCGTCTGTGTGGGCTCGGCGGGGGTGGTGGTGTGGATTTGGAACTGCGCTTGTCTTTCCAGATGGAGGGTGGGCTGTGTGTGCATGCACTAATGGGCTGTTCTTCTCGGGACGTAGGTTGTATCTGCAGCAAACACTGAACGACACGGTGGGCAGGAAGATTGTCATGGACTTCTTGGGTTTTAACTGGAACTGGATTAATAAGCAGCAGGGAAAGCGTGGCTGGGGTCAGCTGACCTCCAACCTGCTACTCATCGGCATGGAAGGTAAGCAGTCTCTGGGAGCAGTGTGGCTTTAAGCCACACCAACCTGCTTTGCGTACTGTCTTCAGCACTTGTTAGCCCCATGACTTTGAACCCAGCTCTTGATTTCCTTAAGCCTCGGCCCTTTTCATCTGAAGAGTCACTGAAGATAAAATGCGGTTGTGTGTCAGGTCTTAAAGGTAGTGTCATGTACTCAGTCTTAAGGGTTAGTTTCCTTTTCCCTCCTTTAAATGCTGCGTGAGAGTTCCGTCAGATACTAAGGGCCCCAGCTGCTCGGCAGGAGAAAGATGAGGTTTCCTTCTCCCATAAAGAGGTACAGCCTGGGAAACCCACAGGGCCAGTTCTGCCCTGTCTAGGGTCGCTCTGAGTCACAGTTGACGCACCGTGATGCCGAGCAGAAGGACCGCCAAAATCGTTCTGAGGTCTCTTGGATCTGCCTATATTCAGAAGATTTTTGTCCTCTTGAAACAGGAATCCCCTCTTTCCCCCCCCCCTCCCCCCCCCCCCCCCCCCCCCCCGCTCCATTTAGTAATTTTAGCGTTATCTTTTGAATAGATAGGCATTCATGGGGTTGAAAATTCTGAAGGTGATAGATGGGTCCTCCAACACCCACTGCTTTTGAGTCGCTCCCACTCGTAGTGGCCGAGTTAGATAGGGTCCCAGCCTTGGCATCTTCACCGCTCTCAGAGCAACTGGGGCATCAGGGGCACCAGCGTTGGGTGCTTACGCAGAGAGCACCATCAGGGCTCCTCTTTAAGTGGGCGGGCCGTGATCAATCTCTTCTACCCCATCTGCCAGCCTCCTAGTCCCTCCCTCCTTGAGAGCACCCTGTGTTGGTTGCATCCCAAGGCTCGTATGCATACAAAGAAAATGACACAGCTAATGTTTTTTGTTGTATTCTTCTGGATCTAAGGAGATACCTGTAAACTCCCAGCCAGCTACTTAGGAGCAAGACCCTCTCCCAGTCTTAGTCATATTTTTATTTCTGGCATTAACTCAGTGCCTGGGGGTAGTAGCTACTTAGTAAGTAAATGGTCAGAAAACTGGTTTGAACAAGGTAGCAGATCTTGTCAACAACGGGGTCATTCTTTTTTCTGGATACTTTTACTGGGGGCTCTTACATCTCTTATCACAATCCATACCTTCCTCCAGTGTGTCAAGCACATTTGCACCTATGCCACCATCATCATTTTCAAAGCATTCTCTTCCCTCCTGAGCCCCTGATATCAGCTCCCCATGTCTTCCCTCTCCCTCCCCCACCCGCCCTCCTTCACGAATACTTTATTGTAGAGTAATTCTTTATTGTCATTCTCCACTGGGCTCTCCTCCCCCTTTGACTGCTCTCAGTTCAGACTCGTTCCTTTGCCTCTTATTAATACAACTTAAGAATTGTCACTTAATTGCCACTTTGTAACCGATTCTTTTTTTTTTTTTTTTAATTTTATTTTCTGTTAAACTCTTTTACTTTGTAACCAATTCTTGCTCGATCCCTCTGGACTCAGTTCTGCTCCTTCATTCCGCATTTCCTATGGTGTGTGCAGAATAGCAGACCCATCGGGTAGAAGGGAGAGCAGCTCCCCTCGGTGGGTCCCCGTACTCTGTGCTCTCAAGCTGCTGTCACAGCGTGCCCATGCCAAGCTGGGGAGGTTTTCTGAACCCCATCCCCTGTAGGGAGAGGTGTGTGCTCAACCCAGAAGGCTTGTGCACAGGGTAAGCAAGAGATGTGGCCTTAGCCACGAAGGAGCAGGTCACACACACATAAGCCAGGGCAGAATGAATTAAAGGTGGCTACCTTGTCCTCTCACAAAGTGTCCGTCACCTGCTTCAGGTAGGTGGTTAGGGTTCGCCCCTTGAGACTCAGCTGCCCCAGTGTTAAATCGAGTGGCTCGCTGCATTGGTGTGTTGCAATGAGAGCAAAAGTTGAGAACCTTTGAGCTCAGGAAGGGTGACCTAACACAGTTCGTATTCACACAGCTTCAGATAACTGGTTCACCCTATCAATGAAGCTCATGCATTGTTAACTTCCCTAGTTTCTGTTTTGCCGCCCTTGAATTTTTGCCATAGTCAATAAGGAGTGTACGTGCGCTCAGCATGCTCCTTTACCAGGCTGATAGTGTGCCATTTTTATGAGCTAGTTCTCTCCAGTGAGAGCAGTCAGTAGCCCTCATATAGAAAAGTCTACACTGATACTGATCAGTGTAGTGGTTGCTCTTAACCGTAGTGGTTGCTCGACTTAATACCCAGTAAAAGTGGAGCACTGAATTTGCTTAAAGTTATCATTGCAGTTACTCTGGTTCTGCTTGAAATGTTGGTTAGACCTCTTAGCTGGGCGGGCCCCTTGCTCTTCTAAAGAGGGCTGGGCCTTCCGATGCCCTGTAGAGCCCCTGCTCTGGATGAGAACATGTCTTTCCTCCCGCAGGAAATGTGACACCTGCGCACTATGATGAACAACAGAACTTCTTTGCTCAGATCAAAGGCTACAAACGATGCATCTTATTCCCGCCAGATCAGTTTGAGTGCCTCTACCCATACCCCGTCCATCACCCGTGTGACAGACAGAGCCAGGTGAGCATGTGTGGTCTGAGGAGGGTGTAGAACTCCAGAGTCTTAAGTGCAGCCAGCCCTTGATCCCAAAGGAATTCCATCTATCCCTTTGTCTGTGGTGGTATGTTGGGGTCAGATTACAGGCAGGTCTTGCCTTACAGACGAACCCAGAGGGCAGTTTCATAATGTAGCTCACATATTCGAGGCCCAGGTGTGCGTCC